ACGGGACATTTTCTAGCATAAGTTCGTAAGAAGGTGGCAATTTATGACACCTCAAAGATACGAGGTTCATCAAGCCTCTAATCTCAACGGTTTCGATACTCGAACATGACCTCAAGTTCAAGTGCTTCAGCTTTGGCGCTAAATCGCCAACTATCGAGACAACTCTTAATTTGCCATTATATTCTATTGAGAGGCGCTCGAGAACAATAAAATTCGAAAGCAATAGCTCTAAATCCTCATCACCCAAATCAACGGCCCCTAAAGATAGTTCTTTGAGGGATTTGAAGGCCGGTAGAGCTTCGTTTCTACTCGCCAAACAAGGAAGAAACGGGAAAAAGGCCCGCGGAAAAAAGGTATGTACGTGCAGGTCAATGATTTGGACTTGTTTGGAAAAGGCAAACTCGAGCCATCTTCCGATTTCGGATGATTGATACTGCGAACTAAAAAAAGGTAAGCAAAGTCGGAATTCGTCTAAAAATTGGCCTCCCTTGTGTGAATCCAAGGTGTGATTGATAGTGTATTTTATGAACTCCGCTTTGGATATTTTATCGTAGTTTTTCTCGAAATATTTTTGTTGCTTGGGGGTAGGAGTAAAATCGAGGCGAGTGATGTAGGTGCTGAGGTGGCGCCAACGTGTGGACAGGATGCTCGTGCACACAGCTTCGACCACTGTCAGCCGTGAGATTATCGATACGAGAATGCTGTCCGGTAATTGGCTGATCTTGTCACAATTACTTGCTTCTGCTGCTATTTCTTCCTGCAACAAAAATATATATATATATGTGTATATAAATTAATTGCGCTTGCCCCCCCTGTGTTATTTCAAATTTTCGAAATGCAGGAAAATTTCGCCTATTATTATAATTAGCATTAAACATCATAAGTTCCCTTAGTGTTTCAATTTTAATTGTAACTAACCTCAATTTCAGGGATCAAATTGCAATTCTATGATTCCTTAAAAACCCTAATTTCGTGAAATCAAACATGGTGGAAATTGAATTTTTTTTCTTTTCCAATTGAAATGAACACAAGGTGCAGCTTCAAACCGCTCAGAAATTGATGAACAACGCTGAAATGAGGGTTTAATAAATTGATCGGATGGGGGTTTAGATGTTACCAATGAACTGGATGATTTCGGGAGCTGAGGAGCGGCGGAGGTAGTCTGTGTAGGGAGCGATGGTTCGCCGGAGCGGGGTAATTGCGGCGGTGCCCCCTTGCCTATCGACGCCACAAAAGCCATGGCCACCGAGGTCAGAATAGAAAGAGCAACAACGCTTTAGTAAGTAGTTGCCAACAAACGGTGTCGTTTAGTTCTCATCTATAGCAATTGGGTAAACTACGGCCAACCCCTGAGATAAGGTCAAATTACGAACAAATCCCTCATGTTTGGGTAATTACAATCACCATGTTTAACCATGAATCTTCTAGATTATGTGGAATATTCTTTAATTTGTACCCGTTTTATCTCATTCGAACTCCACATTATAAAACAAGATGATTATAAAATGTGTCTCGTTGCTTTTAAATATCAGATTGTGGTGCATCGAGAACTGCATTTTTGCACAAAAACGGGTAGAAACTATCCAAACTAAAAAAGGTTTTTCCGTAATTTGCAACTGAAGAATGACAAAGACTACAACTATATCAAAAAATTTGATCATAAATAAAATAATCCCAGTCAAATTTATGAAACATTAAACTCAAACACAAGCTAGCAAAGCAATATCCTAAGATTATCTACTCGACAACCAAATTAACCGATTTTGGCAATTTTCTTCTAAAATACTTCCATACACGGGATATCGCCTTCCGTTCCATTATGACATTGTCGTAGGCGCGCGTTTCTGCGAACATCTCTTCAAGCGCGGTAGCCTTTCCAATAATGCACGATCCAAATTCGTATTCACGTGGGCACCCAAAGAGCCCTACTAATTCCACCCTTTTGAGATGATCGTACGAAGTTTTGGTCACCGCCTTAATACGATATTGCGCACTACGACCATACATATAATTGCTCGGACATTTATGCCATACAAACTGTAAAAAAAAAAAAAAAAAATTGTTTAAACAATTTATTTGGATAATATTGTGAACGGCAAAAGCCCTTATGTTATAACTTATATCGAATTGTTAGAATTAATTAAACTGAAAGACAAGTACCCGAATCTTAAGTTTCTGCATGTACGGACAAGCCTCGATGAAATGAAACAGTTCACGAATGTTACCATCACCACGGATAGAATATTCCAACTCCATATGTTTAATCTTCACTAGTTTCGGGAGGCACATGTCGTCCACGTCATCATATGACTGCAAAAAATATTACATGCCCATATATGATATACATAATTTGATCATATGTTACATATCAAGAACTATATGTCAAGTAGCATCCGTGCATGTATGAAAAAAAAAACAATTTATATATATATATATATATATGCTTACGATATCATGATAGGGGTCGGACGAGAGCTTGAGCTTCACCAATTGGCCACTAATAATGCCCTGCGAAAGGATTTGAATCCCGATATTTTTGCACGTGTCCAAATCAACAAGACTCGGAACATTTTCTAGCACGAGTTTGTAATGATGTGGCAATCGATGAAGCGACAGAGATTCGAGGTTCGTCATGTCTCTAATCTCGACGGATTTGATCTCACAACATGCACTTATGACAAAGTGCTTCAACTTCGGAGCTACTAATAAATCGCCTAAGAAACGTACAACACTTAGTCTATAGCTGCGTTCGATCGATAGACGCTCAAGGGCAACGAAATTCGAGAGAAGTAGCTCGAGAAACTCGTCATCCACATCAACTGAATTTAGGGACAATTCTTTGAGGGTTTCGTTTTTGCTCGAGAAAAATGGAAAGAGAGCCCACCTGTGGCTGCAATCTAACCGTACGTGGATGATTAGGACTTGTTTCGAAAATGCAAACTCGAGCCATTTTTGGATTAGGCACCTCTTTTTTGGGCAAGTGCTTTGATCATTATCATCGTAATATGGGTACGTATACCAAGGTATGTGAAGTCGAAATTCTTGTAAAATTGCACCTCCATTGTGTGTATCCAATGTGTGGTCAATTATGCTAGCGTATTTCTTTACGAATTTATAGCACTCTGTTTCTTTGACTTCTTCTTCTTCTTCGACAACTTCTTCAACAACTTCTTCTTCTACAACTTCTTCTTCTTCGACAACTTCTTCTTCTTCTTCTTCTTCTTCTTCTTCTTCTTCGACAACTTCTTCTTCTTCTTCTACTTGTTCTAGATGTTCTTCTTCTTTTTCTAAATCTTCTTCGACTTGTTGTTGTTGTTGTTCTTCTTCTTCAGAATCTTCGACACAAGGAATTATTTCTAATTGTTTGAGGGTGTCAGAAAAATCGAGGCGGGTGATGTATGTGTGGAGCCCACGCCAACGTGTGGATAGGATACTCGTGCGCACAGCTTCGGCCACCGTCAACCATGAGATTATCAATATTAGAACATCGTCCGGCAATTTGCTGATCTTGTCAACCTCCTCCTCATCATCATCAACATTAATATTATTATTATTATTAATTTTACCTGCTGACGTGTCTTCTTCCTGCAAGAAAACATATGAATTATGCATCAATATATATATGCTGATGAGGATATACAGATTAGATGCTGCAGTGATAAATAAATCAATAAATAAATAAATAGAGGGATTTAATTTGGATTAGTCATCACCTTCTGTAGATTTTTATTCTTGTTTCTCCTCCTCCTCGGCATCTCGTTATCTACGAAAATACAGACGCAAATATGAGCTTTAAATAATAACCACAGAGGAATTTTTTTCACCGGGTATCAATGGAGAAAGCATTTTTTTTTCTTTTTCCTTCTTTTGCAAACGGGCTGGAATTCTGGAGAGGGGGGGCTGGAATTTTTGTCCCCTTTCTTTTTTAGCAGAGGAGCAGAGAAGAAGGAGAGGGAGAAGGAAGATGATTAGGGTTTAAGAAATTATGAAAATTGTAATTTGGTCCTATAAAATTTGGAGAGAGGGATTTTCTGAAATTGTTAGGGACTGAATCGAAAATTCTAAAAACTTCATTTTAGGCATGTGAAAAATCCGGGATAAATTTGTAATTTTCGAAAATATTGAGTTAGGGGTATTTGGGTCTTTTTAGGTCAAAAATCAGACTCTCAGTCGCACAAACCGCGACTGCATCGCATATTGAGCTCGGAGGGTCCTTTTTGGCTTTGACTAATTTTCACAGGGGGTTATGTGCTATTTTTTTTAACACGAGTGTTTTTTCGACAATTCGAGATTATATATGGGTGGTTTTTTTTTTTTTTTTTGAGTAAATTCAAGTCCATTACAAGGGGAAGTAGGGGAGGGGGGACTCGAACCCTAGACCTTCACCCTATTGGGAAAGGCTAGGTACCAACTCTCCTAATGAGGATTGGTAAAATATGATGTCAGAAGTGGGATTATATATGGGTGGTTTTTGCAGTAAGGGTAATGTAAAAAAATTAGTGATGAAAGGAAAGATTTGAAGATCTAATTAGTGCAGAAAACAAAACAATGAAAGAAACGGAGACTTTATCTGCCATATTACAAAAAAGCCCAAAATCAATTAGGAACAATTACAGTTTTCACCCCTTAAGTTTGTACAACTTTCGTATTTGGTCCTCCATGTTCATAGAAAACACATTTAGTCCCTCATTTTTTAATTATTTAACAATTTTAGTCATTTCCGTCAATCTACCGTTAGTTCATCAATTAAGTCAGTCATGGGTACAAGTTTAATTCCATTAGTACTAACGAAAAATTGACGGAAATTACTTTACCAAAAATACTGAATTTTTAAACATGAGGGACCAAATACTGAATTAGTGCAAAATTAAGGGATAAAAATTGTATTTTCCCCAAAATCATAAACAATTGGCCCATCAATTAATACACAACTAATCAACTTGGTTGCGTACTAATTTTGACTTTTCGTTCAAACCAAAGAAAGAAAGAAAAAAGTCAACTAACTCAAGTGACTCCACTAACCAATCAAAAACTGCCACGTCACCATCAACTCTCCTCCAGATCTGAAACTCCATTACCATATAACTTTCTCCCAAAAGCTTCAACACTCCCACTGCAAGAACTTAAAAAACCGCCATCAATGGAGATTCCAGCACTTGTATATTTCTCATGCTGGTCAATAATCACCGCCACCTTTCTCTCTCTAGGATTCAAATCTCTCAACCACCACGAACAAATCAACAACAACAAACCCCACTTCTCCCCACTCTTAATCTTTCTACTACAGAGATTTCTTACAACCTCAGTCTGCCATTCATCCACCTACTCTCTCGTTCATCGTCCTCATCACTCCATTATAACTTCCTTAACAACCCACCTCAAACTGACCGTTATCGGATTTTCATTACCTTCGTATCTGTACGTCGTTTCTGGTCGGCCGATCCAATTACATCTGATCTTAGCCTACGCATTTGTAATAATAACAATATTCCACTTTTTTTTCATTGGCGACGGAAAAGAAGTTGACTTCGGTCTTTACGTTGACTTTTTGGTCAGGCTTACTGTGTTCTCGCTCACACTGGATAAGAGAGATCGGTTTTTTCCGGTTTTCGTCGCGGGGGTTTCGTTCCTCACCGCGGGTTTGTCGGCGGCCATGTTCGACGTCGATAATCGAGAAACTGCAGTTGTTGGTAGTACGGAAATGGAGAGAAGGATGAGATTTGTGGGGATTGGGTTTTCGATTTTGGCGGGAGTGGCGTTTCAGGTTTTTTTGAGGATTAAATTGTTTGGGGATGTGGTGGGGTTTTTGTGCTTCGGTGTTGCTTGGCTTGGGTGCGTGGCTATGGTTATGCCTTGTCGGGATTTTGGGGTTTTGGATTGGTTTGTGTGTAATGTGTTGGTTGGGTGTGTGAACGAGTTCGGGCTTTACGGGCCCACGTGGTTTGCTTACGCTGCTTCGGTTGTTCTGTTTGTGCTGCACCCGAAGGTGCGGGCTGTGCGGTACGTGCCTGGTCGAGACGTCATCTTGTGGTAATAATATTGTTGATTACTTCACCTGTTCCACAATATTTGTCCCTTTTAAAAAAAAAAAATCCACAATATCTGTCACTTTAGATTTTCAATACTGTATTAATTATGTAATTATCAATTCTAATTTTATTAACTACCTCCAACAATCTCTCACATTAATCATTGACAAGTGCATTTTAGTATGAAAGTATATATTTTTCTAAATTTAAGTAACATTTTATTGAGATCCTTAATTCTTGTGCAACTATAAAGGAATGGAGGGAGTATAATTTAGTGGAGATATAATATATTAAAATTTTAATAATAGCACCAATAATTTAATACTAGTGTGAATGTGGAATTGTATCTCGAATATAAACGATGTTACCCATGTTTTCTGCAATATTTTAGTAGCTCAAATTAATGATTTATATCCTCAAGTAGAAAATAATCAAATTGAAAAAAACAAAAAAAAAACACATTGAATTTGATTTTTTTTATTAATCTATGAGTTTGCACTTGCATTCATTAGGCCCAATATAATAATGCCCACAGAAGCAGGCTTTTGATTCTCAAATCCAACCATTTAACCTTTATTTTTTTCAATTAATCCAAATTAATTTTCTTGACAACCCAAACCCGAAATGATTTTGGATCGGGTCAAAATCCAACTATTAATTGCAATTGAAAAACTCGGCTACTTCGACCCTACACCAGGTGATAAACACCGGGTGGGTCTTCTGTTGTCACGTGTCCCTTTTTTTATTTTTCTAAAATTCCTAAAGGTAAACCCTAGCGGAGAATGTATTATAAAATACAAAAAAGAGACACGTGGCAGCAGAAGACCCACCCGATGTTTATCACCTGGTGTAGGGTCGAACAAATCGAAAAACTCTCGTGACATCAAACGAGAGTATTATTACAAAAAATAAAAATAATTAATAATTTAAAGATAAAGTCCACATTTTTAATATATTTAATTGTACTAAGGGCCAATATTTTTTTCAATTATTAGTAATTTAAAACAGTGATGTTCAAATATTTATTTCAAGGATTCAATTAATTATCAAAAATAAAATAAAAGGACTCAAATATTTTATCAATTGAGCAATATTATTGGTCACCTACTTTTGGGTCAACGTTTTGGTCAAAGCCAAACCAGTTCCTCCATTCTAGAAAGCAAAAGCATTCTCACTATAAATAATTTTATACAATAAATAAAATATGTTTCTTTTTTTCTCACAACACAAAATGTGTTTGGTGTAACAATATTTATTGAAAAAGTAATAATTGTATTCTCAAAACCATTACTTTGTTCATATAATCTAACTATTTATCCTAATATACAACATTCTAATTTGTAACAAAATATAATATATACAGTATAAATTGCAGTACCGTAAATTCAAACTTTATGGTGTAAAACAAGTTACATTTAGTACTAACTGGCGGTTGGAGCTCGCGTTCATTTGCCAACGGTCGTTAGGTCGAACTTGTCAGTATTTCAATGTTTTTTTCAATAGCTCATATTATTAAAAATGTATTTTGCTAGTATTTTTTGTACTTTCAATTGTAGACAAATATATATAATCTAGGGTATTTTGGTAATATTGAAGCAAAAGGCAAGACCCACTTAGCTTTTATGTCCATTTCTTAGGAGCAAAGTGAAAGACTTGAAATAATTGGAGCACTATTATATGTTTTGCTAAAGTATGCATGTGAAAATTCAAAGAAATAAAGAATATGGTGTTAAGAAGGTTCGTGGGGGGTGTGCTTTAGGCTTTAGCATCTCAAAAAAAAAAAAAAAAAAAAGTGGTCTAGAAATGAAAGTTGTGAATCATCTTAACACAAAAGTATTTGAATAATATTTTAAATATGTCAATATGTTACCTAATTAGTGACAACATACAAAGTTTAAGAGAAAGTAAAAGATTTGTTTGTTCATCAATAACTCTTTTATTTTTTTTAATTTTATTTTTCTGAACGGCAAGAGAAGAAGTATGCGCATTTGAAGTGCACTGGATAAACTCTGCCTCATACAATATCAAGAAAACCGCACTAGGATATCAATTGTCTTGTACAATATCAAGAAAACCGCAAAAGAGATATAAACTGCAGTAGACAAGCTATATATAACGATCTTGACTTAGAAAATATTGACAATATCAATTACATGGATTATGAAGAATGCACATCTTGAATAACTTGATTATACTAATCATATTTCAAGAGTTTGGTGAAGACTACACCAAGTAGAATTTTACCGTTAATTTATACACAAATATAAGTACGTTTTTGTTTGTGTACTTATTAATAATAAAATCCACTCGATATATTTCAACCAATATAGCATAGTATGAAGTGTCAAGACAATTGCCTAAAAGTTTCAAGCTGGACTTTTGCAGCCTTGTTTCCATCTACTTTGTTGGTATTTTCAATAATCCACAACTAGCTGTCACAAATCACAATCTGCTGAAAATAATTATCTAACAATTTGTATTATTTATCCATTTTTTTTAATTCAAAAATTATTCACAATAATAATTCTAGAATGTTTGGAAAATGGAAACCATTTCATAAAATAAGTTTGGGTAAAAATGTTTAAACGAGAATACTAAAAAAATTATTAGGTCCTTTTCACACTGTGTTAAAGAAAATTGATAGGTACATCACTTAATGCTCAATGTACAATCATTTGAAACGCACGCAATTGGTGTGTACCTAATTTTAGATACTAGTATAGATACACAACAACGTAATCTGATTTTCTTTTTAATTAATATTATTTAATTAAATCAAACTTCAGTTATCGGCTGTTGTCGCTCGCGTATTCTCTCTCTCTCTCTCTCTCTCTCTCTCTCTCTCTCTCTATATATCTTTCTCTCTCATTCTTTTATTTATTTTACCCTCAAAATTCACGCACACAGACAATTGATTACAATACACATACGTATACAATACATACAAAAACATATATATATCTATCGATATTTGTACGTATGTGTGCCGGTAATTGCATAAGATTTACAGTACATATAGCCGTTATATTTCTTAGAGTATAAGGAAAGGCGAAAAAAGGGGGAGAAAAAAAGGTGGTTTTCGATTGAAGGAAATGCCGCCGGCGGGGATTCTGGTGGTGTCGGTGGTGTCGGTGGTGTCGGCGGCTCTGCTATTGACGGTGGCGGTCGGCGTATTGGTCGGCGGCGAAGGGAGGAACGTGATGCTCGCTCTGGAGAGGGCGAGTCACGATGGAATGGGGGTGAGTCAACTCAGGGACCGTGACCGCGTTAGGCACGGTAGATTCCTGCAGCAGCAGCAACCTTTGGGGGTTGTTGATTTCCCTGTACAAGGCACCTATGATCCTTACCTTGTTGGGTATATATATCTAATATATATCTAAATTACATACACAATTATACATACATTTATTTATGTATGTAATATATGTTATCCGCGTGTGTGATTTGTGCGTGTATTTTTATCTGAATTTAAACATCAAATATGTGATTTTGAATGGGGGCAAAGTTTTTAATCATTTCCTGCTGTTCATTTTTCTTATGAATGATTTGTGATTTTCCCCCAAATTAGCTTCATGAGTCAAATTTGTTGCTTCCTTATTACAATAGTGCAACTAATTTTTATTTTTTTATACCTTATCCAATTCGTGATCATATTTTTAAGCTATTCGTTGCCTTTTCGGTTTATTCTCTCTCTTTACGGAGGTGTTGTATCGTATGAATTCGTTAAATTTATCGGGATGGTGAATCTTGTTCTGTAGGCTATACTTTACAAGAGTGAAATTGGGGACTCCACCAAAAGAATTCTATGTACAGATAGATACCGGTAGTGATGTGCTATGGGTTGGCTGCAATCCTTGTAGTGGTTGCCCCACGTCCAGTGGTCTCCAAGTATGTACCTCGTTTCTTGCAAATCATATATATATAATTTTTAAATTTCTCTTCGCTAATTGTTTTGTAACTTGTAAGCCGAGATATGATATGGTTTATTTAATTATGGAATTGTATTGCTTTTTTTTTTTTTGTGACAGTTGGAGCTCGAGTTTTTCGATCCTGCCAGCTCATCCACAGCTTCTCCAATCTCATGTTCCGACCGAAGATGTGCTTTGGGAGCAGAATCGTCCGATTCTGGCTGTTCGGATCAGAATCAGTGTGGATACACATTTCAGTATGGTGATGGAAGTGGGACATCAGGAAATTATATAGAGGATTCAATTTATTTCGATTCAATCGTCGGGAATTCACTGAGTTCGAATAATTCAGCACCCGTTGTTTTTGGGTGAGTTCTCATTCGTTTTCATTAGAAATTATTCTTCGAAATTATGTTTTTTTCTTGAAAACTTCCCCTTGTTATTTTATTACACAGTTGTAGCACATCACAGTCTGGGGATCTGACAAAGCCAGACAGGGCAGTTGATGGTATATTTGGATTCGGACAACAAGGATTATCTGTTATTTCGCAGCTTTCGTCGCAGGGAATCACCCCAAATGCTTTTTCTCATTGTTTGAAAGGAGAAAGTGGTGGTGGTGGAATATTGGTGCTCGGTCAGATAGTCGAGCCAAATATGGTGTACACTCCGCTCGTTCCATCGCAGTATGTTTTTTTTTTGTTCAACGGCTTTATAATTTTATTCGTTTGTTACCTTTTTCTTTAGTTTCTTTATGTTGATTGCAAGGTTTAAATTAATTTCATCGTATAATACATTCTTGAGTATCTTTAAAGATAATTTCCGTAGTCTAATTGAAATTTAGAAACTGATGTCGTTTGCAAAGAATGGTTAACTTGTCGGTTCTGTTGGTGATTGAAATCGGTAGTGTTCTTTACTCAATAAGGTTAATAGGTACTGAAATTGAAAGGGACGGTTTAGTTTCTTCGTAATTTCCTTAAATCCTTGTGTTATTCCATAAGGTTAATCAGCAGTGTCCCTGTTTTTATGGAATTTTACGTATACTTCACAGCAGCTGGCAAATATTTCGGTTTTAAGTTATTTTCTGTTTCGTAACTATCAGGCCACATTACAATGTAAATCTACAAAGTATTGCTGTTAATGGGCAGACATTAAACATCGATCCATCAGTATTTGCAACGTCAAACAACCAAGGAACAATAATTGACTCCGGAACAACATTGGCATACTTTGCGGAAGAGGCTTATGATCCTTTTGTTACTGCTGTAAGTTGCAAAACGACATTTTTTATATTTTATTTATTGACGCTCATTAGATATCGATGCATGTTATTTATATTGTTTTGGTGCCTTGGCTTTGCAGATTACGGAAACTGTTTCACAATCTGTTCGTCCGATACTTGTCAAGGGAAACCAGTGTTATCTAACAACCTCCAGGTTTTCTTTTACAATATTCATATTTTTGTGGCCATCTTCTTTTTATCTTACATTGTTCGTTTGTTTATTCTTTCCAGTATCTTAGACGTTTTCCCTCCAGTAAGTTTAAACTTTGCCGGTGGTGCATCAATGTTATTGAGGCCCCAAGATTATCTTTTGCAACAGAATTCTGTGGTAATTCATCGTCGCATAAAACACTTCATTTATTGGATTCCAGCTGATAATTTGTATTTTACTTTTTCCTGGTTATAAATGTTTTTAAATAGTTGGTACGGGATAATTTCTTGATTTTTAAGAACTAAATGTTGGTAATTAGCAGAACGGGTTTGCTTTTGTGTAGGGCGGTGCTGCAGTATGGTGCATCGGCATTCAGAAAATTCAGGGTCAAGGAATTACAATTTTAGGAGGTACGAAATTTATCGACATTGTTTTAGTGATTGCACATGTGCTATTTTATTCTTATAATCTCGAGAGTTTGTGTTGGTACTTTTCAAGTTTGAATTCATTTTCTTCCAAGTTTTTTCGTCTTAATCATGATTCGTACAGCCCCGTTTTTTATTTATTATTTTTTTAATGTGTTTTGTTAAATGCAGCCCCTGTTTTTCTCTTGATTGAGATATGTTATCATCTTATATTGTACTGATTTTTCATCCTTTTTGCAGACCTTGTTCTGAAAGATAAGATTGTCGTCTACGATTTATCCAACCAACAGATCGGATGGGTGAATTACGACTGTGAGTTTCTCCTTTATTCGACAGAGTTTGTCAATTTCAAGGTTTCGTGATAAATCGTTTTAATTTGTATATTTCTTTATTATAGGTTCGTTGTCTGTGAATGTCTCTGCGACAACTGGTACAGGTAAAACCGAATATTTCAACGCGGGGCAACTCGATAATAACAGTTCGATACATAACAAAGTTTACAATTTACTAATACCAAACACCATTATAGCTTTCTTGTTGCATATAGTATTCTTTGGTGTTCTTACATTCTTGTAATATATCCATTTATAGAATCATATATATGTTTTTTTTCCTTTATTTTTTTTTTGGGTAGATTTTTCCTTTTTTTCTTTTAGTTCCCTGTTATTTTAGCCATCCAGCTGCGTTTGTTGTATAATACTTAGATATTAGTTGGTCATTCGACACAAAATTTCATAGAGGATTACGTTACGGGACTAATGTCGTGTATTTTACGAAGGTGAAAATCGGATGGAATGACGTCCTCGTAAAATTATTTTCTTCTTTTTTTCGGAAGTACAAATTTAAACTTCAAATTTCAAACTTCAAATTTCGGTGTCAAAAATTTGAAATTTAAGGGGGTATTAGTATTTTACACACAATGTATACAAATAATAATTCAAAATTTATCTTATTAATTATTAGGAAAAAATATATATATATATATGGTTTCCTAGTTGCAACACAATTCGATTCTGTTCCCCAAATAACAAATCCAAATCTGCGTTATTATTGGAATCCTAGTCCTGGACCTCCTGGTGTGTTATGTAGTTATGTACGAAACCCCCTCTCTCTCTCTCTCTCTCTATATATATATATATATATATATATAATATAATGTTCAGGATTATACAAAAACCTCTCTCTTATATTAACCTCTCTCTCTCTCTCTCTCTATATATATATATATATATATATATATATATATATATATATATATATATATATATATATATATATATATATATATCCATCCATGCTACGTACATAGCCATTCTCTCTTTGATCGTTGATAAAAATTGAACTAAGGCTCTCAAATTTAGCTCTATATTTTGCTTGGTTAGATAAATCTATTAGAGATGACGAACAACGAGTCGAGGAGAAGGAAGAGAAACTCGAAGAATAAAGATAAAAATCTACTTCAGGTAATTATTAACATCAACATTAACCCTTTTTATTTTATAATTTGTAATTTTGTATTATATCCTCAAATTTGTTTATTTATTTATTTATTTATGCATAACTCATATATGTATTCATAATTTGTTTATGCAGGAAAAAAGAGTAGCAGCAAGTAATTGTGAGATTAATAATAACAATATTAATAATGATGATGGGGTGGACATGATTAGCAAATTGTCGGACGATATTCTATTATCGATAATCTCGCGGCTGACGGTTGCCGAAGCTGTGTGCACGAGCATCTTATCCACACGTTGGCGTGGGCTCCATAAGTACATCACCCGCCTCGATTTTTCTCCCACCTCCAAACAATTACAAGCATTTAAAGAAGAAGAGGAGTTCCGCCTCCACAAAGTAGGCCATGATAATCGATTATTCGAAGAGGAACTCATAAGGAAATGCACTAGCGTAATCGATCGGACATTGGATTCAAACAATGGAGGTTCAATTCTAGAAGAAATTCGATTCTACTTACCTTGGTTCCAAATAACCACATGCTTGAACGAGTCATGGCCAATCGAGAGTGGACTAGTTGAGAGGTGGCTCGATTTCGCGTTTTCCAAACAAGTCCAAACCATCCACCTACACATAAATACTTTTCATCTGCGGGTTCCGTTTTCGTATTCTAATTTCACGAGCATCAACAAAACCCTTAAAGAAATATCTCTAAACGGCATTGATTTGGACGACGAGGGTTTGAGGCTATTGCTCTCGAATTTCGTTGCTCTCGAACGTCTCTCAATAGAACGTAGTGATAAATTAAGCGACGTACATATACTAGGTGATCATTTAATAGCACCAAAGTTGAAACACTTGAACATAAGTGCGTGTTGGGATATCAAATTCATTGAGATTAGAGACATGACGAACTTCGAGTCTTTGAGGCTATATCATTTGCCATTGATTGGTTACGAACTCGTGCTAGAAAATTTGCCGAGGTTTGTTCAGTTGGACACTAATTGTCGAAAAACCGAAATCGAAATCCTCTCACGCGGCAATGTAATTAGCGAGCAATTGGTGAAGCTCAAGCTTTCGACCTACATTTTTGATGTGTACAACGACTACATGCCCCTCGCAAGAATGGGAAAGCTTAAACATGTGGAGTTGGAATTTTCAATATACACTGATCGCAGCTTCCACGAACTCGTCCGTTTCATGGACGCTTGTCCGTGCCTGCAAAAACTCGAGATTAAGGTATTTTCACATATATATATATATATATATATATATATATATATATATATATATATATATATATATATATATATATATATATAATATTTTTCAGAATATTTATAAATCCAACTTCTATAAACTCGAATAAATGTATAATATAAATTGGTAATTTTGCAGATGAAGTCAAGATGGGGGGGTGAGCATTATTGTATGGAGGTGGTGAAGAAGGGTTCAAATGATCATCTGAAATGGGTGAAGCTGTCGGGACTCGAAGGCTGCTCATGCGAAATGAAATTCGGGTCGTACATCGTTGGAAAAGCTACAGAACTTAAAGAGCTTGTCATGGAAATTTGCCCCGAAAAAACCGACGAAAGCAGACGAAGGGCCAGAGCTCTTGTGCGCAAGTGTTTTCAACCAATACTACCAGATTCAGTTAATTTTGTTATTGTCTAGATATTCAATCATGTTTCCAACCCATACTAGCGAGATTCTGTTAATTGAAGTCCCAAGATTCTTAATCACATTTCCAGCGAATCATAACCAAACTGCATAGAATTATTTACAACGTACGTATGTAACAAAAGCCTAAGGTGACAGATATCTATATACAGTTCGAAAAGAATGTGTTTTCTAAGTCATCTAAAATCAGCAGTAGAACATGACATCCTTAACATTGTCCATAATTTCAGGCAGAGCCCGAACCTTTCTGACCCTTTCCCTCATAACTCCATCGGGGCCCGCTGCAGCGGATCCACCGTCAGAGAGATCTCCCCCTTCGATGTAATACCGTGCTTGAAATGCAGCAAGATGTGCATAGTAAGCTGGTGGTACTGCACGACGAATACAACTAATATTAATTTCAACGACTTGATTTAAAAAGTTATACGACTACTGTATAATATTTAAATCAGATTCAATGGCTATCTATCTAACCTATGGATACCGATCGAGTGCACCTTGCATATCTGAGGAAAAACAATTGAAAAAATGAACTCAATTTATATATATACCTTCCTAATTGCATCAACTTCATACAGAAGAACTTGATAAAACTGCCCTTTGATAAAACTGCCCTTCGCTCACACCATCCCTGCGATTTGAAAATAATTACGAAATGGCAAACACTAAACACTACGAGTAGATCAAATGCACATCACCAAAATAACTAACCTGTAAAAGATGAGCCTGTGCGGAAAACATTTATTGTTCTGGTAGAATGCAACCAAGTGTTCGCTGCAAAAAAAAAAAAAAGGAAAATAAGAATGAGCAAAGGAATTAATAAAATATAGATAAATATATTAATCAAGATTAGACAATGCTAACCGAATCATTCCGCAGTCCTTATTAATGTAGAGATCCTGGATAATCTCTTCCATGTGGCCCTGTGCAGAAACCAAGGCTCTGTACTTAGTGACTTCTGGCCAATCCATTGAGGCCACCACCTGAGAAAAAATAAGATTAATCAAATTGTTCATTTCTTTGCATTTTTCATTCTAGGTGCAAAAATAGAAGCTGTACCGCAGCTATAGAAGGACTGGATTCGTCCCCTGGTTGAGGATGAGTGACATAAGCACCAAATATTATGGTAGGCCTGTCACTAACGAAAGGTATTTTTCTACAGAGTGCCTTCTCCAGCACCGTATTTCGCCCTCCAACCTATGTCCAAAACACAAGGTGATGAAGACGAAAGTTATTTAAATAAAAAAACGAAAGTTCATACAACAAACCTTAACGTTGATCTTGAGAGAAACATTCTCCAAGAACTGATGATTATTGCTTTTTAAAATATTTTGGGGCTGACAGCATTGTGACACAATGCCCAACTCGGTTTCGCACACTCTCTTAATTAATCCTGTCGTGGAAAACAAAAAAAGGAGAATGTAAGAAGATAAAAAGGAAAATAAGAATAAGCTCGGTGATAAGAATAAGAATAATCCTTAGAGACAAAGGGCAATGTCCCTGCAGTGTAGCAATCTTCCTTCCATCGTAAGCCAATTGTCTCTTGCCCAAATGTGAGGAGTGAAAGGATTTGACAAGCTGATTCATTATCATCCGGCATACCTTCTTCGAGGTAGCAACCTAAAATGAAAATAAAGATAATCGAAACAATTACGAAAAATCGGAACGCATTACTCTTCTATTCAAAACACAGAGAAACACGAAAAACTGCATTATGCATCTTGAATGAACACTAACATAAACAGAGGCATCTATTCACAAATCAAAAACACAATAAAAAACACATATACATACATACACACACACGGCAACACATACACGAAATGAAAAGAGATCTGTAAAAAAATATAATTATACATACACAAAAACACATATACATACATACACACACACAGCAACACATACATGAAATGAAAAGAGATGTGTATAAAATACAAACAAATACGCAATCGCAGACAAAACTTCTCTACACATAAAAGCACATTCTCAATCAAAAAAACACTTACATCGTAGTGGTTCAGATCTCTATCAGCAACCGAGACCAAAAAATGGTTCGCCTTAACGACTGTCTTCTGTCCGAATGATCCGAGGCCTGGCCTTGCCGGTAGCCTCACCGCCTTCGTGGAAGCCGGTGGTAACTGTCCTTGCTGCGGAATCACCGCCACCACCGCCGGAGCCTGTGGCTGAGGCGTCGGAGCAGGTGGTTTAGTCAACGCCTTCTTCAAAGCCGGTGGACTGTTCCGGCCGATTTGGCGGTGAATCCGCCGCAAGGACCGTCACCACCGGCTTTGAAGCAGGCGTTGACTAACCCACCTGCTCCATTCGGATGAAATAACATAACATAAAATAAAATATTTGCCCCAAAATAAAATTCAAAACATAATTAACAGCTCAACTTTCTAGGCTTGCATTGGAGGGTAAAAAGGTAAATGAACTCTCAACTGGCGCGTCGATGCCAAATTCCTACTAGCAAGAGTGGATTTTGAGCATCCGAATGATTACACTGCTTCCGAGCTAGGTTATTAGCTAGTAGTCGGTTGAATTGCTAGCTTGTAGTAGGTCTTTGTAGCTGTCAAAAAAACCAAAACAAAATTAATTTTCTCCCTCACAATTGGAATATCATACATAAAATTAAATGTATATATAATTTAGGCTAAATTACGGTCATCCTTAAAGGTAAGATCCCATTACAAAAAAACTTCTCATGTTTAGGAAATTACTACTGCCCCGTCAACTATGAATCATTGAATCTTCTTACGTGCTCACTTTGTTATATCAAATTTAATGGAATCTTCTAAATTATAATGTGGAATATTATCTAGTTTGTAGCCGGTTTTACCCATTTGAGCTCCACATTTTGAAGCAAGATGATCGTAAGATGTGTCTCTTGGCTTGTAAATATCATAGTACGTTGCATCAAAAACTGCATTTTTGTACAAAATGAGTACAAACTAGAAATATTTCCACATAATCTAATTTTTTTTATTTAATTTGACGTCATAAGGGTTGACGTGTACAAAGATTCAAAATTAAGTGTGATTATAATTAACCAAGGATGGATGTATGTTTTATTTTGTATAGATTAATGATGCAGGACCATTGTATTTCACCATGTGTAACATTAAAAAATTCAGTATGGCAGCACATGATAAAAATTATGTGAGAAAATTCTTTAAAATAAACTAAATCTCTTTATCCTCCAAGGGAGATATGTACATGTGGGTTTACCCAAAACAACTCGATCTTGGGAATCACACTATCCAAGAGAGGTTCAACATGGATGCACACAAAATAACTCAATCTCGGGAATAACATCTTCCGAGAGAGATATATATACACTGGGTACAAAATAACCCAAAACCCTTTAAATTTGGGCTTGTGATTAATAGCCTCTAAGTTGGCTCTTGACGGGTTTTACCTCGTCTAGCGACTCTTCGAGCTTCAGGCTCGGAGTATATTCAGATATTTAGCCTTTAAGGCTTTTGACGGATATTATCACGTCTTAACTTAACGAGCTTCAGCCTCGGAGATATATTCATATATTTAACCTTTAAATCGGCTTTTGACAGATATTATCACGTCTTGACTCAACGAGCTTCAGGCTCGGAGATATATTCGGATATTTGGCCTTTAAATCGGCTTTTGACGGATATTATCACGTCTTGACTCAACGAGCTTCAGGCTCGAAGATATATTCATATATTTGGCCTTTAAGTCGGCTTTTGACGGATATTATCACGTCTTAACTCTACGAGCTTCAGGCTAGGAGATATTTTCAGATATTTGGCCTTTAAATCGACTTTTGACGGATATTACCACGCTTTGCCTCAACGAGCTTCAGGCTCGGAGATATATACAGATATTTGGCCTTTAAATCGGTTTTTGACGGATATTATCACGTCTTGACTCAACGAGCTTCAGGCTCGGAGATATATTCAGATATTTGGCCTTTAAATCGGCTTTTGACGGATACTTCCACGTCTTGACTCAACGAGCTTCAGGCTCAGAGTTATATTTGTGATTTAGCATCTAAATCGACTTTCTTATCTCTACGAGTTTAGTCTCGGAGTTATAATAACAATTTAGCCTTTAAATCGGCTTTCTTGTCTCAACAAGCTTCAAGCTCGGAGTTATATTAAAGATTTAGCCTATAAATCGGCTTTCTTGTCTCAACGAGTTTATCCGCTCGGAGTTATAGTATGACCTCTATACGGTCTATGTGTAGCTCTACGGGTACTATGCCCGAAGTTAAAAGGATAGCCTCTATGTCGGCTTTAAAGGGAGATTATTATTTCCCCAACTCCACGAGCTTGTGCTCGGAGTTAATCTCATAGTCTCTAAATCGACATTCAACTGGGATTATTATATCTTTTACTCGACGAGCATCATGCTCGGAATTAATATCTTGGCCTCTAAGTCGACCCACATATCTGTTAAAATTAACATGTGCATATAACACTGCTTGGGATCCACAAGCTTGTAAATATAAATTTCGATAGCAATTCAAATAAATAAGTAATAGATTAATATACACGAATTCATCATATCATTTCTCATTTGAGAAATGCTAGCGTATAAAATACCGAAGTATTCGCTAATCATTCTCGTTTGTCTTTTCGACGATAAATCGAGGATCTGGATTTTCGTAAAATAAAATAGAAAGAAGAATACGAAAATAGCAAATTCTTATCGAGCAAAATACATGGAACAAGGTGTGTGCAAGGTGTGTGCAATATACAAACTGTGTATTGAAGTATAATACGTATATTAACTATACGAATAAATGGAACAAGGTGTGTGCAATATACAAACTGTGTATTGAAGTTGTATGTTGTAAGAAAGAAATTCACTCAATTCTCATTGAAGCCAAAAGCTTCTGTATAGATTTACATAGATGGTGCCATCTATTTATACAAGAATTTCAAAGTGATTTGTCATGCTTATCAAAAGATTAGATAGAGAAGAGGATGACACGTTTTGACTTAGTCCATAAGTATCTTAGAGTGGATATATATATATAGGACCAGAAAAAAGAGAATAATAATAGATCAGCGAAAATGATAAATGCAGGACCAAAAATGTTGAATGCAGTTTGGCCAAAAATTGCATATAAGAGTAGTATAGTACTTTCGCTTCTCCAGGGTATGTCAAATTATGATTTGGGTTTGGATTTATCTAGTTTATTTGGTGGCTAGGGGGTATGTAAGATAACGTCATTTATTTAATCTCTAATGAATATGGGCTTTTGATAGGCCCAAGACCAAAAAAGGCATAATCTTATGTAGACACTGCCATGAGCAAGTTCCGGTCCGGTTCACGGTTCATTTTTTTCCGGAACCGGAACCAGCCCGTACTACACCCGGTTTGGCCCGCCGGCTCACTTCAGTTCCGCACCTATCCGGGCCGGTTCCCGGTTATATATATATATATATATATATATATATATATATATATTCGAAAATACTTGATGAATAAATAAATTAAAAGAATTACTTTTAAATATGAAAAAGACAAAAGAAAATAAATAAAATGACTTGAATTTAATTTTATAGAAAAAAATGGGGTGTGAGGGTAATTATCGGAAAAAAATGGGGGGAAATTCAAAAAAGAGCAAATAACGGCCGGTTCACTGGCCCGGTTCAAGTTTTTTAAGCTTTTTTCTATTTTTTTTTTTTAATTTCCGGTGAACAGCCGGGCCGGCCCGGCGGTTCACGGTTCACCTATTTCAAGAACCGGGCCGAAAACCGGCCCATGACCGTGTCTAATCTTATGTCCGAATTCTTTATTAGATGGGAGACCCACTTTATTTAATTAAATTATCATTAATTTTAATTAGCCCAAAAATGCTTATTTTTCAATTATATGTTATGTAATATAATATTACTTAATATTCGAAATCCACCTTATTAATCGCTGCTAGTATTTTTGCCACGTGCGTTGTACGGATGAATGTTGCACGGATGAATATATAATAAAAGGGAAAAATAAATTATTAGTCAAACACATGATAATAAAAATCTATATACAATATAATAAACTTTAAATTACAATAAAAGAGTAACATTCCTACAAATAAATATGATAAAAATACATCCTCAAATTTATACAAATTTAGAAGAGCCTTAAAACACAAACTTGAACCAAGTAACAACAGAGACACTTGTTTTCCCCTGTTAAGGTGAAAGACATAAAATATTCGATGGAGAATTACCAAAAATATTAAACATAACGTGAAAATTTATATATATATATAAATATTAAACATAACGTGAAAATTTATATATATATATATATATGATTTTCCTTTAAGAAAAAAAAAATCTAATATCATCTCACTGATAAAAGGAAGAACAAATTCTCTTGGGAAGATTTTGTTCTTTTGGTTTAATGTAAAAAACTATCTTACCAAAACTTATATATGATAAGAACTCTTTATTTTTTCCAAACACATTACGTGAACGTAAACGTTGAAATTAAGTTTTCTGTAGAATTGAACAATTAAAATTATATAAGTACAATCATCCACTGAATTTAATATCACGTGTATAAGCAAAAAATCTATATTTATACTCTTTTAATTCTTTTGAACCCGTCAAAAAGTTTTTACACCCTATAAATTGGGTTTCGGGACAAAAATATACGTGTACCCTAATTACAATGCAAATCTGCCTTTAATATTATTTATTTATGGTAAGATATATATACATAAAACCTAGTCCTAATGTGATTCTGTTTAGATTATATATGAAACCTACCATGTATCTATCTCTCTATATATGTATATTTCGATGTATATATTATAAATATCCATACTACGTACGCAGATTGAAGAACGCTCCGTGTTTTGCTTGGTTAGATAAATTAATTAGAGATGACGAACAGTAAATCGACTAATAAAGATAAAAATCTACTTAAGGTAATTATTAATTAAATCTCTCTTGTTTATATATATATCTCTCTTGTTTATATATATATTTTTTATTGTGATATTTTTTATTGCATCGGAGCATGTTATAGTTCGTACTTCAACATCTTGTTTATTTTCTAATCGGTATTATATCCTCAAATTTATTTACTTTTTATTATGTATATATATATATATATATATATATATATATATATATATATATATATATATATATATATGTATGCACATATATATATATATATATATGTCACTCTGTTTTATAGAAAACTTGTTTATCATATATCAATTATCATAGTTTTCTCACTCTTCTGGTTTATTGTTTTTGTGATTTGTGAATAGATGCCTCTCTGTTTATGTTATTGTACATTCAAGATGCATAATGCAGTTGTTTTTTTGTGTTTCTCTTGTGTATTGAATTGAAGAGTAATGTGTTTCGATATATATGTTTAATTTGTTTATGTAGGAAAAAATAGTAGCAGCAAGTAATTGTAAGATTATTAATAATATTGATAATGATGATGATGGGGTGGACAAGATTAGCCGATTGCCGGACGATATTCTCGTATCGATAATCTCACGGCTGACGGTGACCGAAGCTGTGTGCACGAGCGTCTTATCCACACGTTGGCGTGGGCTCCACAAGTACATCACCCGCCTCGATTTTTCTCCAACCTCCAAACAACTACAAGCATTTAAAGATCAAGAAAAGAAGCGCGGCCGCAACAAAAAAGGTGATGATCGAGTATTCGAGGAGGAGGTCGTAAGAAGTTGCGCTAGCATAATCGATCGCACATTGGATTCACTCAAGGGAGGTGCGGCTCTAGAAGAAATTCGACTCTACTTACCTTGGTTCCAGATAAACACGTGGTCGGAAGACGAGACATGGCCAATCAAGAGGTGGCTCGATTTCGCGTTTTCCAAAAAAGTCGTACGAACCGTCCACCTACACTTAAATTCCGTTCACGCATCAGCCCGCTTTCCCGTTCCTCCTTGTAATTTCGAAAGAAACTTACCGGCCTTCAAATCCCTAAAAGAGCTATCTCTACAAGGTGTTGATTTCGACGACGAAGGATTGAGGCTACTGCTTTCGAATTCCGTCGCTCTCGAGCGACTCTCGATTTCGCATATCGATGCATTAC